GAAAAGCAAGCCCCAATGAAGAATTTACAGAATTGTAGATATATAACTTTATTTTAAGCAAACAATACTGTTGAAGTTCTTGGCTTTTCAGTTTTTTTATGAATAGTTTTACACAACTTATGCATATAGCTTCACATAGGTGACTTTGGACGATAAACTCAATGCACAAGTAACGATATCAATTATAAAGTCTATGCTGCAAGAGATTTTATTTCAATGGGATGGGAAGGGACCTAGCCAAGGTGAAATACAACCAAGGATTGTCAGGTATAACTGGACCAGAACAATGGGCAAGTTACTAAAGACTGTTTCAGATCTAGGGTATGTAGGATGAGTAGGGCGAATCATAACTCACGATTAGTCTGCTTGTAATTGTGCAAGGTATATTCAATTAACATTATTCTGCCCATCTGTAACCAATGTAGACTTTACTAAAGTCACCATAGTCCTACCAGACGTTAGGGCTGCTCTCATTAGAGGGAGATGACTGGTGATTGTTTAACTTGTGGATCACCAGGTCAGATGAGGGGAGAGGTTGAAGGAGAGCCCTTCATATTGGTAACTTCAGCTTAGAATTGAGCCCACCTGACTGACTGCTTTCCAAACCAGCCATGAGCTAACAGCTTGTGACTCGACTTGTGCACCATGGAATCTCTCAGCTACATTGCAACAACTTTTCAATCATTAAGGTTGAACAAGCTCATTCTCCTAAGTAAATCCTTAGTAGAAGGTGTTATCAATTGAGGATTTGTAGAAGAGCTTGATTACAGGGAGGGACAAGAAAATAAAATACAGCAACTGTATTCTACATTAGATAACTTTTTATCTAGTGTTTTGGAAGAGAAGCAATACATTTGACTAAATGCAATCTTTAAATGAAGGTTAATTTTGTAATAATCATTGAGTTACTGTACATACCTTTAGAACTTTAATTACCTGATCATGTGGTGATCATAAGGTAGTTCACTACCTTATGGTTTGTAAAGGATTAATAAGGCCTAATTTTGAACAGTTGAGTGTGCAAGAAGAGGACCATATCCCAGGCAAATGAGAATGAATATTCCATTGTGGGTTGGTTGACTCCACTATTAGTCAAGGGTAAGGAGATAGCAGGAACTGCAGATGTTAGAACTCAGGGTCAACAAAATATGGAGCTGGAGGAACACACCGCATCAGAGGAGCAGGAAAGTAGACGTTTCAGGTTAGGACCCTTCTTCAGGGCTCAAAGCATGAGAGTCCTGACTCAAAATGTCGATTTTCCCTGCTTCTCTGATGCTGTCTGACCTGCTGTGTTCCTCCAGCTCCACATTTTATCAAATATGTCAAGGGTAATATTTGCTACCATTATAATGTAGTAAGTGGAATATCTTTAGAAAAGATTTGTACCTAGTGGTCTCACACCTAGTCAGACCTTATGGCTTACCATTAGAATTAAATAGGTAGTATATTCCAAAGGCAAAAAATGTCAGGGGGAAAGCCAGCAGTCCTTGGGTGATGAGAGAGCTTGAGAATGCGAAAGCAAAAAGAGTATGAGGCATGTCAGGTAAATTCTTCAAGAACCAGGTCAAATACAATAATTTGAAGAGGGAAGGGAAGAGAAGAGAAGAGAAGAGAAAAATAAAAAGATTGTTAGAAGGAGGAGACCTGACAAGCAGGGAACCAAATATCATCTTCTGACATCTGAGCAGGTGGGAGAGGCAGCCCGAGTCCTGTTAGAGATTAAGATGGCAAATTTTTTTGGGAGACATAGGGCAAGTCTAGAATATACAAGTATTCATAGCAGTATTTATTAAGGAAGATGCTAACCAATAAAAATCAGTAGAGGTAATGGATAAGGTGAAAATTGAGGACTTTAGTCTAGATTCTATGCCTAGAGCGAATAGGTTACTACTGCAACCAGTCCCTGGTAGCAGGTTGCCAGTTTGCAACGATCACAGTTGAGGAAGAGGAACTGGCTTCCCTTATTTATTAAAACTTCTCCTTTTGTTGGTCAATACAACATTAACCTAAAACAAAGGATCCATTCCCTCGTGGATAACTTTCCCAATCCGCACTATCTGCTTTAAAATGGAGCCAATTTAACCAGACTTTCAACTTTAAAAATTTTAACTCAAGGAAACAAAGTTTATTAGTTTCTAAAATGTGAGCAAAAATAAAATACAACACAAATACATTAGTAAAAACAGAGGAAACAGATGAGTCAGTTTCATTTGTTCATGGGAAATGGAAAATTAGCTTGTGTGAAATGGCCATTAGCTTGTGATTCCAGTAATTGTCTTGGAAGTTGAGTAGTTGGTTTGGGGATTCCAGATACTATAGATTAGCCAAAAGGAGTCATCTGGCTTCCTATTTTACTATGGCTTTTGACCAGTGATTTGCTTTCAGAAACACTCATTTCCCCTGTTTCTTTATGAAACAAGCACAGAGGGGTCTAAATATTCTCAGCTGTAACCTCCACAGCATACTATACCCCAGCAGCAATGAAACTCCAGACCAGTGTATGCATGTGCACATACCAGAGGTGCACTTGGTTTTTGATTCTTGTCCTTGTGCACTCCTGGCAGGGAAGAATACATCTTTCACTCAGTCTGCTTTTTTTTTTTTTTTACTTCATTTGCTGTCCACAGACTGGGGGTGTAGGCCACAGGGAGATGGTTCATGTCTGCAATGAATCACTTCCTTCGCAGTGTTTGAAATTCTTTGACACTGTTCTAGGTTCCCATGATTCTCCCTGCCCACCCCCCCCAAAGGCTGGTGTATTCCATACAAACTTTGCAGATTGTACAGTTTAATGACTCTCCGCCATCTTCAACTTGTACGCCCATTTAAAAAAAAGAACAACCTGCCTTCTTTAAAAGTTCAATATGTCCACAACCAATTGACATAATATTAAAAATTCAGGTGGCTTATATTCTAGTTTGCTAAGGGAATTTGGGGTGGAGGTAACAGAACAGCATTCCATAGTCTTTTCTTGATAGAGAAGAGGTGTCAAAATATTTGGAGTGACAAACCCTTTTTGAAAATGGTGTTAGGGACTGTCCAAGTAACTAGAGGCATACAAGTTTAACTTCAGTGCTCAGTAAAGTTTTAGAATCAGTAATAAAAGGAGGAAAAACAGGTATTAAGAGAGTTCAGTTAATTAATTGTAAAAAGATTAACTAATTATTTTGATCAAGTAACAATGTTGATGAACAGAGTGCACTGGATATTATCTTGGTCACTTTTGTAAAATCCAAAATACTGCATTAAAATCAGCTCAACGAAACTGAAGTTCATGGAAAAGAGGATCAGTATTACCTTGGCTTATAAAGTCAAACTTTTGTTTCAGGCTTACGGATGGTGATTTTCCTCAAATTCCCATATTTGTTGATAGCACTAAACCTGGGAGTGGCAATAATTGTAGGTTGCAATGTGTAAGATAAATTGAATTCTTTCAACACCAAAAAAGATGCTTTTCCATGCCCATGGCATACAAGTCTTTTTCAGCTGTTTAAATGGTCTATTTGCATTAGTGTCATCATGATTTGATAAACTGTCAGATGAAGACAAATCAATTTCATGGTTTTTTTTTTAAAAAGCATCAATTGCAGTGAAGATACCTTTATGATTAATTCAATTAACAGTGCCACTTTAACTTCATATGGAGTCAGATTTTTTCCACATTTCAAAATGGCAACCTCCACACTGGTGGGTCAAATTTTAGACTTGGCATGCAAATTCAGCCCTGCTTTTGGGAGAATTTTCAGCTTTCATAGGTTAAGCTGTGTACCACATTTGGGAGCGAGGATGATGCAGTTCAGTAGCAACACAGTAGCTGCAATAGGTCAACAAACTGAGCCTACAAGTGGAAATAGCATCGAGGAGATACCTTTTGACAAGAGACAGGAAGAGGCAATATAAACAGTGATTCAGTTCCAAGGAGTGTGCATGAACCTGGGCATATTAACTGTGATGTGCATGCAGGCCCCCATAAATACTAACATTTCTCAGTTTGATTTCTGATGGTGGCAGGACATACTGACTGTGGACAACAAAATAAGGGAACATGTTCTTCATAAACATAGGCATAGAGTATAAAAGCTAGGAATTTATCCTGGACCTTTATAAAGATCCAGTTGCTGCTATTACACTTTGGAAGTGTGCTAAGGTCCAAAGGGCATAAAGATTTATCAGAACGCTTCCAGTGATGAGATTAGATTGGAGAAGCTTAGGCTGTTTTCTTTAGAGCAAAAACGTTTAAGGGGAGAATAGATAGAAGTGAATGAAGCTTATTTCTGAGGCAGTGGCTTGCACTAGCAGTTACTGGTGTTAAACATCTGGTATGGTTCAGGAATCCCATGACATTGCAGCCTCTGCTGCATTTGGTACAGATAAAAAAAAATGGGCCAAGGTGGCACAAGATATACCAGCTTCCATTTTCCTTTCTCTTTACATTCTGTTGTTACTTGCCACTTCCATGCAACTCCATGGTGGTTAGGTGACTGCCAAGCCAAATATTTTACTGACACTTTTGGAAAAATTGTTTCCATTGGCTGACAATATTAGGATCAGAGACTACAGATTTAAGACTTTGGGCAAAGAGCAGTAGGGTGGCAGCAGGCAAATAAGGAACAACATTTTCAATGCTCAGTAGTAATGACTGTTTGAAAGTGGTGCAAGCAGAAACAATTGAATTCAAAAGGAAATTAGATTGGCACTTGAAGGAAATAAAATTGTAGTGCTCCTGGGATACAGTAGGGGAATGGGACTAACTGGATTTCTCTTTGGAGTGAAGATAGAAGGGAGTTGAGATGGTGCTGCAAATGTCTATGTCCTGTCAAAAGTTGAGTGTATAAATGAGCATCTTGGACTTCTGCTTAATTAACTTTGGAATTTTGGGCACCTTTCTACAGCAGACTCTCCCTTCATGAGCTTAAACAGATAGGAAAGGGACCTAGAGAACAAATGTCTTTCTTGAATAGCAGATTCTTTTCTGTATATTCAAACAGTGACCCATTCTCTGGAGGTTCAAGTTTAAACTTTATTTTCTCAAAGAAAAAAGGCAAATCTGGTATCTACAGTTTGTGACTTTAAAATAATCAAAATACCTTCAAGGATTTATTGATAAGGTGAAGATTCCACAATAGCATGTGCTCATTTGAACCATCACAATTTGGAAAACATCTAATATTTGTAATACCTATTTAGCTTAACTAGTTCAACATTTTAAATTCTGAATCCAAGGTTTGCAACCATTCAAGAACAAACATTTCCAAATTAAACAGATAAGACAAATATATAGCTTTAAATTTATGATAACCTTAAAGAAAACTTCATTTCCAAGTACACACTGATATTTAACTTGTTAAACAAAACCAAAATGTTGTGGGTACATTAAACAGATAGTGAGTCTTTTTTTTTAAAAAAGTTAGCTTTTAAACTGAATACAAAAAAGGAAAAATAATTAAATGCTGAAGTTAAGCTGTTAACAAGAAGCAAATATTAGGCAAAAATGCATTCCATTACTGAATGGCATTATTGTTTCAACTTTCTCTTTAAATCATCTCTTTGCTGTTGCGAATGGCACAGCACAGCACCATGCTGAAGATCATACCAAAAATCTGGAGAAGAGAGACAGGATTATTATTGCTGTGATATAACTTAAGAAATAAAACTTCATAACAGAGCCACATATTCCAATGTTTAGGTAGTTTCACTTACCATTATAATTCCAATGCCAATCCCAATTGCTCCGATGATATAAACCTTTCTGTCGAATACGTCTTTAATTGCAGTTATGCATGACTGCAGGCAAGATCAAAAATTGCAGAAGTTAAAATAAAAAGGCTTTTAAATTAATTTAACAAAGGTAATAACATTGTGAAAGAAAGCTAGAGAATTCCACCTGACTGTCTACTTATTGAGAATCTTCACAGCTTCACCTTGCAACCCAAATGACAATAGCAATGTCTCAATTCCCATAGCAAGCAAAAGTGCCCCCATCTTAAATAGTTCAATGAGTGAGTATTCATGGTATTCTAGGGTAAAAAAAGTGCCAACAAAACAATTCTTTATTGCAGAAATTTCTCATTTTCTCAATTACAGTTCAAAAAGGCTGACCTCGTATTTTAAACCTAAGTTCTAGACTTCAAAGAGAAACATCACCCCAGCATCTAGAGTCATTTAAGAATTTCTGCGTGCCAATGAAATATTAAAATGTACTAGAGTCCCTTTGGCCCATTGTGTCCATACCAGTCATTAAGTACTTTTCATTCTAAATGCCAGGGAATATAAACAGTCAATTCAATCTCACCCAGGTGACAGTCCCCTAACCCAAAAATCAGGCTATTGAATCTTTGCTATATTCTCTCAAAGGCTGATATATCCTTCCTTGACAGAGTACTCAAGGTGTGGTCCCACATACAAGAAAAATCTGTCTTCTACTCCAATTCCTTTATTTAAAGGAAGTCTAATAAGCCATATGCTTTCATTATTAGTTGTTGCATCTGCATATTAACTGAAGTATACACAGGCCCCCATAAATACTAACATTTCCTAGTACTTCAGTCTATCTAAAAAATAATTTAACATTGTCACTCCTAAAATGAAAGTTCATTTTAAACTGGTTGTAAAAATTTTACTTTTAGTTTAATAGTCATGTCATTTTGCTTTGATAACCTTAAACATTGCAGATCTTAAATGACAAATTTAAGAGACACCAAATGTCAAGTCCTGTAAATATTCTTCATAGACATAGCATAAACATGTCTAACTTTCCCTCAAAACACATTGGATTTACTGGGATACTGTTCCTTTTAGATTATCTCTGGACCCTTCAATATACTGAGATGCACATTGAAGCACACCGAGTTAAGCCATTTTATGAGTTTTGAGATTATAAGTGACTCTGGGTCAATGAATCACGTGTTCACTATCATGACAATTTATGATAATGGATACACAATAACATGATTTAATACATGTAGAAAGCCAGTGCTAGTGTGCTGGCACAGAGGCCCAAGGTAAACATTTATTCTAGAAGCAGATATGTAAGTTGTCAGATGTCATATTGCCAAGTGCATCCTTTCATGTCACCTACAATGTTAGTGTAAATTTCTTAAAATTAATCTGAACATGATCAGGATGTGATTTAACTGCATCCTCTTCAGTCTCCAACCCCTTAATTCTTGGGATTTCAGAGAACTCTAACATTAGATAGAATATTTTATCAAACAGAACAATTGCCTCCTTCACTTTTCTCACCGTACAAATTGTGGTGCAACCAATTTTATAATAATTTATGTCAGTGTTAAGAACAGTACAATCAAAAAATTGAATCATATTCAACATTCCCAATCAATTACAGCAAATTAAAAGTCCAGCACATCCTCCTACTGAGTGGAGTCAACTCACTTGACAGAGAAGCCCACATCATTCAGCTGTGCTCCTGCTCATTCAACTCAAGTAAAATCATAGCTAATGAGTGCATGAGGGGCCCTTTGGCCCATTGACGTTCATGCCGGTCATCAAGCACTTTTCTACTCTAGTCCCATTTATTACATGTTAAAGCAGAATTATACACATTCCAGTTATTTCCTGCAGTTTAGGTTAGATTGCTGAAATATTTATTGTCCTGAAACAGGAAATTAGTTATTAAACATGTATTTTGCACACCAGTAACAGGTTGGTAATTCAATCATTATGGTTAAGCAGTTATCTTTAAGTCAGTCTTCTGCCATGCACACAAAAATATGCATTTGTTATTAATTGGTAGAGAATGTGCCCTGCAGGAAAACAGGTTGTACATTAAATTAAAAAGTGTAAATCACACAAGAGCAGAAATTGCTGGTGAAACCCAACATGTCTGACAGCATCTGTGGGGAGAAAGCAGAGTTTACATTTCAAGTCCAGTAAGTGCTTTCCCCCATACAGATTCTGCCAGACAAGCAACTTGTCGTTTCTTCAGATCTCTAGCATCTACAGCTCTGGGTTTCATTTTAGTGTAAATCTCACAAACAATTCACAAAGAAAAAAATCTCATACCTGTCTCTTAAGCTCTCCTTCAATGGAGGTACTTGGGCAGGTGGGTCGAATAATTATCTCAATTGTACCAGCTATTCCACAGCAATCCAACTAAAAAGAAATAATTTTCTCAGAAATAGTCAAATAGTATGAGGAAACAGCTTCAGTGTGCT